CAGCTGCTGGGGGGACCAAGGCAGGTGGAGCACTCACCTTACCTTGCCTGGGAGCCTTCTGTTCCCACCAGGGCAAAGAGGAGGTGGGGAGGGAACACAAGCAAGGATGAGTAGTGAGGGTGGGAATCCTCAGACAGGCTTGGGAGCTTAGCATTTTCCCCTCTTAAAAATTGTGTTTAACCTGCCAGACCCCTGTGCTCCTGCATGATGGATGATCTGGACTCAGGAGCCAGCTATTGGGCAGCAGTAAGGGGCATGGATAGAGCTTGTCCCCAGCCTTGTGATCCCTTCAGCCAGCAGAGCCCATCAGTGTCTGGGATTGCAGGGATGGGAGATTCACATTGGGTTTGGGACTCAGAGGTAGAGCAGCAGGGCCAAGTCAGTGATCAATCACCACAGAAATCCAAGTGAGGGATCCCAGTACTTTCCTAGTTTGAAATCCCTCCAGCAGCAACACATCTCCTCTCTGTGCCTCACAGTGGACACCCCATCTGCTCCAACATACGTTGCAGCAGGGTAGGTGGGCACAAGCTGCATGGTGCAGCCTGCAGTGGGTTCAGAACCTTCTGCCCCAAGAAGGTCTCTTCTCAGGCCATAGCATCCTCATGTTGCTTCCCAAGAGTGTATGGGGCTGCTAGGGGCACCTTGGTTGCCAGTGGTCCCAAGGTTGCATAGTCACCCATGAAAAGGGGAGTTTCTACCTGGAGCTGTGGAACAACTGCTCTGTGGGACTCCCCTTGCCCTACTGCTCTGTCTGGGGAGCAAACTCTATGGGTTGGATGAGCTGGCCATGGCACTGGGGCATGGAGGAGTGATGAACAGCTGGAGCAGCCAATGTGGCAAGCCACGCTTCTTCCTGTCAAAAGAACAGCAGTGAAGCTGTGTTTTTGCTATTAAGAGTTGGCATCATCCCCTGGAGTGACTTGGAGGTGCTCCTTGGGGAGGAAACTGTTCTGTATGGTGCAGACCTGGCACCTGCATGGCTGGTGAAGGACCTGCCTTGGCCCAGCTTTCTACTCAGGCCTTTCTTCATTTGCCTGTGGGGATGATGGAGAACATGTTTCTCGTGGCAGATGGAAGTGGGAGGTCTCTCTTCTGCCTCTGTGGGAGGTACTTGGACACTGGATCCATTGCAGCTTTGGGCTGTTGCTCTCTGGGCTGAATTGGGGATGACTTGTGGGTATAGGTTTCTGGTCCCCTCCCTGCTCCATGGCACTTCATCACAGCTGCTAGTGGGGTGTCTGTGGAGGAATACATGGATAAAGTGACCCCGGGACATGGCAGCAAATGACAGAGGGAGAATGAAGAGTCCCAGGCGAAATTGGCTGATGAGATATTTGTATTCAGGAAGGGGCAGAAGAACGACCAGAAGGTCTCAGCTGATGGGAGATAAATCCAGGCTGGGTGGAAATCTGCAAAAGCTCTGCCTGTGCCCAGGGTGGCCCAGTGGTAGTCATGAGACTGAAGGAGGTGGGATGACAGACAGTTTGGTCTCCACTGTAGCCAAAGCATGTCTTGTGGCATTGCCTGGCTGATGGGTTTGGGACTGAGGAGCATAGACTGGGGACAGCTCTGTGCTGGGAAGCTGGGGCAGGCGAAGAAGGGGAACCAGATACCTTGGAGCCCTGCTGTGATGGTTAATCATTCTGCCACAGAGCCTGGAAGAGCAGAGGGCCAGGGCTACATAGTCTGGGGCATTACCTCCAGCTCAATGAGAGCTGAGCGTGGAGGTCACCCTGTGCTGTGTTCCCCGCCTGTCTCACAGTCCTTTGTCACCCCCAAGGACTGAACTCCTTGGGGGATAGCAAGGCAGCACCAAGCTGTGGCCCAAGGCAGTCATGGGGAGTGTGCTTCAGGAAGTGAGTGCCCCTAGGATGGAGTAGGGGCTTCTCCCTCATCAGAAGTCCTGCATTAGAGCATAATCTGGCATTAGCACATTAATCCAGTCCTCCCGCTACTCAGCTACTGCCCTCGGCAAAGTCCAGCCCAAGGTCTCAGTGTACAGCTGGGCAGCAGCAGACCAGGACACTGTCTCCCTGGCAGCCCAGAGAGCTGGTGGCAGCAGGGATGAGGTTTGGGTTTATGGTGGCAGTACAGCCCCAGCCCTTGCATGCTGGCAAGGAAGAAAGCAGCATCTTTGGGAAGCATCACATTTTGTTCCTTGGAGGGACTTTACAAAGGGTTTTGAAGCCTGAATGCCTGTACCTGCAGGCTCTGGCTGAGCCACACTAAGTCGTGAAGCATTTTGCAGTGAGCCACGCCAAGGGAAGGTGGCGTCTGGAGAGAGGATGTGAGTCAGCAGCTTGGGGGTAGGGGGCTGAGGAGCCAGCACAGCCAGGATGTGGAGAGGATGAAATAAGTGGGAACTGGGAGAGCTGCAGGGAGAGCAGAGGTAGGCAGAGAGGCAGCTGATGTCCCCTAGGGAAGATGTGGCATGGCTGTGCTGCAAAGGCAGCATGAGAAATGAAACAAGTCGTGACATAACTCTGCTAAAATAGGAGATGGAGTATTCAATCCTCCCTCTGATCCATTACTGTGTGGCTGGGAGACTTTGGGGAAGTTGGAGGGGTCCCCCTGTTATGCTGGCAAGAGGCTAAAACCTGCCCTCTTGACAGGTAAGCAAAGCCAATACAGAGACTTTATTTATTTTTTTTTTTAAGTAGGGAAAAAAATCCTTCTGTCTTTAATCACAGGGCAGCAGAAGAAGCTGCTGTGCCGTAGCCTCTGCTCCCTCACTCTTCCTAGTGCAGGCTGAAGCCCTTTGGGACCGTGTTTCCCATCTCACCCTGAACAGGGCACCCAAGGACTCCCTGCAGGTAGGTCAGAAGCCCATGGATGCACTGGGCCCATGCACCTCCTGCCAGCCACCTGAGACAGGCTGCCCACCCAGCTGGTACGTACACTCCTCTGCCAGGGATGGTGCTCCCACATCAGCCCCGTGGGCTGGGCACCCCCAGTCGGGGCCAGAGACGATGCTCCACCAGACGCTGTGCGGGGCTCGGCCCCGCTTGCCCATTGGCAGGATTTTGCTGCAGTCTGCTCCGAGCCGGCAGTTTTGGTGACTGAAGAAAACTGCAGAAAGCAGCACCTCTGGCAGGCTGGGTCAGGTGGGGCTCTGGGGAGGGGGAAGCTGAGTTGGGTGAAAGTGATGCTCTGTTCCCCCTTCCGATAAGCACAATATGTCATGGGGGGGGGGGGGGCGGCTCCCAATGGTAACTGAGGATGGAGCATTCACCAGAGTTGCCCATGTGAACACCGGCCTGCGTCCACAGGCAGGCGCAGAAGCATCGGCTGAATGCAGTCTCCGCATGGGTGTCCTCCCCCTTCCTTCCTGGCTGCCGTCCCTGGGGAGTGTAGGGCTGGTTCCCGGCTTTTGGTGTGGCACCTTGGGGACAGAGCAGTGGGACTGTGCCAAGTGAGCTCAGATCAGAGCAAAGCAAGCCTTCAGCTGCAGGCTGTTGCACTGGGTGTGTGCAGTGGTTTCCCCTCTCCCAAAAAGGTAACTCCCCCTTTTCCTCAGCATGTCTTGCCTCCAATCCAGCAGGGACCCGGATTGCAGGGTCGGGAATGAGGAGGGGACTGGAGTCACCTGGGCTTCCCTGGTGCGGGCACTGGCAGAGGGACACGAGGGGTGGGGACAGGGAGGGGGAGAAGGGAGGAGCTACTAGTGACCCACATCCCTTAATCCGTGTCCTGCCCTGCGTCATGCAGTTACCTAAGCCCTGAAGCGGCTCCACCGGCGGGGGCGCAGCCCTCTGCCCCGTCTCTGAAGGAGCCAGTTGAGACCAGGGGAGCCAAGGGCCCATTTTGCCCTTGCAAAGCCAAGCTTGGGGGCAAGGGGTGTCTTCAGCCTGTCTTCACACAAGTTGCGTGGGGGTAACTACTCTTTTCCCCCTCACTTCACCTCCTGCCGTCCTTGGGAACCAGGCTGTGCAACACTCAGGGACCCTGGAGGTAGGGGCGGCCTCCCTCTCTCTCTCTCCAGTCCCTGCAACTCCTTTCCCGTACATGGGCTCCCAGCTGGCAGCATCGGGCCCCCCCACTTCACAGCCTGAGCCCTCCCCAGAGGACACACTGACATCAGATCCCACTCCGTTAAGCTGATTAGGGCAATGAGGATGCATCGAAGCAGATGCCACCAAGGCTGTGAGAGTGACCAGACCCTGGAGGGATGCAGAGGGGGCAGCATGAAGCCCCCAGATCTGTGGGCTACTGTGATCTCAGGCATGCAGAGAGAGGGGCTGGGTGCTGGCCACTCCCTCCATGGGCTGGGTATGGCTCCCCCCTATACAGCCAGTTTGATCCCTGCTGTGAGCCCGGCACCCGTCCCTGGCACCCTGGGTCCTCGATGGCAGTGAGATCGGGAGCAAAGCCTCAAGGAAGGGGACAAGCAGAGGGCAGTCCCTGGGCCCACAGCAGCCACTGTGGGCACCAGTGGATCTGTGGGCATGTTCTTGGAGCCAGGCAAGCAGTGCTCTCCCGCTCACCCCTGCGTCAATGTCACACATGAGCCTGACCTGGCACAGGATGTGGCTGTGCTGAGCCCAGTGCATTGCCCCAGACTGGTTGCACGGGACTGTGAGTCACAAGAGATCCAGCTCCTGGCATCCCTAATTTGCCTGGATAACGGCAGGATGGCAAACATCCTGCCAGGCCAACTGCATCTCCTCTTTGCGTCCAGTTGCCACATCCCCTTGCCAGCCTAAGATCAGCTTATGTGGGCTCCCTGGAGGGGTGACTCAAGTAACCCAGAGGTTTCCAGCTCTGCCCTGTCTCTTGGGGTTTATAAGAATCAGACGTGATGCCTGGAGAAAAGGTGACACAGCAGAGTGGTGGCATCCTCCACACCCCAGTCCTGAAAGTGCTCTGGCTCAGATGGGAAAGGATTTGCTGAGTGGTTCCCCCACTTGCCAGCTCCCTTCAGACAGGAGAGGACACAGGTCACAGCACCTCTCTGTTTTATTGAAGACCAAACCCACCCCCCAGCCAGCGTAGAGCTCAGTGTGCCCAGCTCTTCTGAGTCTGCTGAGCCAATGTCCTGCTCCGGAGGATGGGGGCAGCTCCTTGAACCCAGGGGGAGACCCAGGGCTGCTCCTTGGTTCCTGGGGCTCTCAGTCCTGCTGTTATCCCTTCTCCTGCCCTGCCTCCCACCCTGCCTTGTCCCTGGGGATGTTCCCATCTATGGAAGGTGTCCCAACCAGCCCTGCATGTGAGGGGCTAAAGCCAGAGTAAAACTGGAACAATAATCTTGGAAGTGACGAGCAGGACACAGGCTCATGTGCAGGATGTCAGGACCATCTGTGGTGTGATCCTCAAGCGCTGGGGAGAGGGCAGAGTTGCAGGGACCAGGCTGTGTTGCCTCCAGGCTCTGGTCTTGCCCTGAAGACTGGCAGTGCATGCCTGTCACACCTGCCCCTGGCACCTCCAACACCAGAGCCCTGCCCCAGGTAGGAATCAACCCATGAAGAAAATCTGCTCTTCAGACCAAGGCTTCTCCTGAGGTGTGAAGGAAGCTACCATCAGCAGGAGGTGTAGGAGGGATGGAAGAAAGGAAGACTTTGGAGACATAGGTGAGTGGACCAAGTGGTCAAGGAAGGTCCCCTTTCCTTGCCCCTGCTCAGTGGGAACCTCATCCATGGATGCAGCTGCCCCAAGGCCCCAGCTCCTGACTCCTGTCTGCAGGTAAAGGGGTGGGGCAGGCACAGGCTGGGGGTAGAGCTAAGGATATTCAGGGAGTGGGCAGCATGTTGCAAAGGAAAGGGGGTGCACAGTCCCTGCCAGGAGTGGAGCTGATAGTTATTCCTTCCATTCACACCCTGCTTTAGGTATCCACATCTGTTCCCAGGATCATGGATACCTCCTCATCTTAAATTTAGATGGCTTCTCTCCTCCAGCCACCCCTATCAGGGAACTAACCCAGCTACCCTGCAAGAACCTCCCACCCTCCCCACCATTCCAAATTTAAAAGGGGGCAAGTGAGAGCAGGGCACGATCCCACCCCCCATCCCTCCCCACTGAGTTCCCAACTCCACAGCCCCATGCTGCCAGGGACAAGGAGTGTCCACCTGGCACAGCTGAGCCTCTAATGGTAATGGTTGTTCATATTGTTGAGGTGGGAGGCTGCCATGGCACTGAATGGAGCTGAGGGCTGGAGCCCGTGCCCGGGGTAGAGGGATGGGCTGGAACCAGGCCAGTAGGAAAAGCTGGCTGGTGTCACCCCAGAGGTCATGAGGTTGAGTTTGGAGATGCCCGAGAAGGGCAGCGGTGCCAGGTTGCCCTGAAATTTGTAGAGGGTGTGATCGGGGGTGGCCGGCTGGCACACCTGCGCCAGCCCATGGAAGTCGAACTTGTAGGCGTAGCGCTTGCCATGGACCTTGGTCATGATGTTCTTGTCGTAGTAGTAGCGCAGTGCCCGGCTCAGCTTGTCGTAATTCATGTTGGGTTTGCTCTTCCGCTCGCCCCAGCGCCGTGCCACCTCGTCGGGGTCGATCAGCTTGAACTCCCCATTCGTGCCTTCCCAGGCGATGCAGTTCAGGTTGGCCCGGTCCGAAAGCAGCTCCAGCAGGAACTGCCACAGCTGGATCTGTCCGCTGCCTGCAAGGCCGAGCCCCGGAGAGGTTAAAGCTCCCTCCCAGGGCACAAGGTTAGGGACAGGATGTGCCCCAATTCTCCTTGACCCACTGCTATATTGCCCCTTCCCGTGTGGCCCCAGATTTAGGCTGCACTTCATTGCATCTTCCCTGCTCTAGAGATGCAGAAGGTGGTAACAAGGTTATGTCTCCTTTGCAGCATCCCTACTCCATCCTGCCCCTCAGGTAAGAGGAGGAAAGATGCCCATTCACCTTGTGATGGGGTAGGAGTGCTCAGAGGTCAAAACAGGTTGCAGTGGGTCTGGATCCAGGGTCTCCACATCCCTCCCACCCACATTCACACACCACTGAAGACAAATACCTGTTTGTTTGTTTTGGTGAGAGGACATGGCCTTTTTCTTTCATCTGGAGCCCCAAGAAGGAGATATCTTGGAAGTACTCAGACTTAACCCAGCACAAATATTCCCCACTGCCACATCTGCTTGAAACTGGGCTGGTGTCACAGCACAGCCTCTGCTCTAGAGGCATTGTACCCTGTGCTGATGTCTCCATGGTGAGCTGAAGTCAGGGTGCAACACTGATCTGAACTACGCCCCAGAGAGGCACAGATAAGTATAGGAGAGGGAGAGAGGAGGACAGGGCAGGACCTGCTGTGGCTTTGAATCGGGCATCAATGTTCCTTATTTCCAGAGGAAAAGTGTCCTCTCTGAGCCATGGCCATTGCATCTGCAGCTTACCCTGAGGAGTATCCTTGGTGGGTGCCCAAGGTGCCCCTGTGCCAGACTGCACACACTGGAGCCTGGCACACCTGGACGTGCCCATGGTGAGGCACAAGGACAGGCTTCATTGTGTCTGGCCAGAAGTCACAAGAGGAGAGGGTCCCTGGACCTTTGGACGAGGAGCAGTCCTGCCACTGAGATCCAGCCCCTCTGCAGAGCAGCCCTGCACTTATCTAAATACCTTGCCCTACCCGATCTGAGCAGCAGCCATTGCACATCCCTGCTCCTCGTCCCAACCCTTGCAGCACAGTCTCTTCCCACAGAAGGGGGCACGTCTTTGCATTTAATACTTCTCCCTGTGCTTTTCTACCATTATTGTGTCTATAGGTGCTTGGATCCCATTCAGAGGTTTAGCACCTATGACCCCTGCAGCAAGCAGTCCCATAGCTCAGCTACATTTCCCACAAAGAACCACCTTATCCTACTTATCTAACACCCACCTATTTTATCTGGTGCTCCCCATTTCTTGCCCTGGAAGGAGCAGGGAACAGCTGTTTCCCATCCATCCCCATCTCACCAAAACCAGGTTAGACATCCTGATCCAGGCAGATACACCCCAGTCTTTCGAAGGTGTTGTGTTTCCTAATCCCCCATCCTGGGAAGAAGGTGGGAGTCTCTCCTCCCTGGGAGAGATCCCTGCAGCCTTTGCCTCTCATTGCCACAGCCTCCACCCTGGGCTTCAGCTATCTCCCAGTTGTGGCTGTTCCACCCCATGCAAGGAGGGCAGGGAGGTGTTGGAGGGTGCAGCCGGGTGGAGTGCTGAGGCTCAACCCTGACTGCCGCAGGGTGCCGTGATAATACACCTGGCAGCTCCCCGAGGAAATATCCAGGGATCCAAAAAGGTCCTTCTCACTGCATCACTGTGCACCGAGTATGGCTAGGCAGAGTCCCCAGTGCAGAGGCAAAAGAGTCTCCCAGTCCCAACTTTCCTACCCCTACCACCACTAAATCAGGGCTCCCCTTTTCCTGCTCAGAGCAGCCCCTTGTCAACTGTCTCCTTGCAGACAGGCAAGCTACATGGCCCAAACACCACAGTGCTGGCCCCACGATGCCCAGTGCTGCTGCACTCCCCAGCAGGCTCCAAGCTGCTCCCTCACCAACACTTGCCCATGCCTGTGACCCCTGCGTGGATTTCTCCAGACGGGGACCCATAAATTCCCAGACCTGCCCGAGCCCCAGTCCTTCACCGGCAGCTCCCTCACGGATGGTGTCTCAACTCACCTCCCCACTCTCAGGAACGGGTCTCCCGAGCCCGGATTAGCTCGCCCCAGTCCCGGGCTGGCTGGCAGTTCTCTCCCCGTCTGATGTCCCGAGCAACTGGGGGACCGGAGCTGGGACCCCGAACTCCCCCCGCTGCGGGGCTCGGGGGGCCGGGTTCCCCGCTCCCCTCTGCTGCCACGGGACGGGGTCTCCCGGCCGTCGGGGCTCTGTGGTTTCCCCGTAGGATTTGGCAGCGGAATGCTCCCAGCCCGCAGCAGCAGGGAACGGGGGCTCCGCGGCGGCCGTGTCCCGCATGGGCAGTGCCGGGCACACGAACGGGAAGGGGTCCCCGGTGGCTGCGGGTCGGGGAAGAATGCATGTGCCCCGGGGGTCCCCACTCCGGGCCAGCTGAGGGGAGCGGAGCAGGTGCAGGGGAAGGGGCAGCGGTGCTCTTACCTTTCTGCACGCCGGGGCTGAGAGACCCCCATGCCTGGCTCTTCCCGTCTTTGAACAAAGTTTCCCCTACTGGATCTGGGGGAAAAAAAGGGGCGCGGGTGGGGGTGGCGGGGGGCTGGAGCCAGGCGGGACCGCGACCCCCCGGCGCCCACCCGCGGGCAATGTCCTTGCAGCCCCCGTCCGCTCCCCCTCGCTTGCCCCGCCGCTGCGGCGAAGCCAGGAAACGCGTCCAGGAAAAAGGAAATCCGATTTCCGACCCAGCCGGGGAAGCTTTTAAATAGGAATAGAAAATCCCGTGGGCTGGGGTAGGGAGGAGAGAAGGAGCGAGGGAGAGAACTGCGGGACAGGGGGACAGGGAGAGGAGACAGGTGAGCGGCAGGATGGGCAGCAGGATCGGCGGGTGGAAGGAAGGATGACTGCTGGCGTTTGGGGAGCGGACCGCTGTGAAAAGGAGAGATAGATGGAGAGATGGATGGAAGGAAGGAAGGAAATGGGTGGATGGATGGAAGGACAGAAGGGAGGTTGGATGAGTGGGTAGATGGAGGGAAGAAAGGGCGAGAGGTGAATGGATGGAAGGAAGGGTAGGTAATTGGTAAGATGAGGGCAAAACAGGCTGATGGAAGGGACAGAGGGTAGACAGAGGGATTGGCTGGTAGCGGGGATGGAAAAGGGGGTAGAGGGATAAGTGGGTGGGGTGGAAGGATGGATGGAAGCACAGGGCAAGGATGGGTGGGTGGAAAGATGAGTTGGAAGGAGAGAAGGGTGGATGGAGGGATGGAAGGACAGGGGGACGGTGGGTGGATGAAGGATGGGAGGATAAGTGTGCAGGCATGGAAGGCTGTGAGGGTAGATAGAAGGGATGGTTGTGGTGCTCGAAGGCAGGAAGAGAGAATGGACAGAAAGAGAGAGGAGAGAACAGGGTGGGCTCTGGAAGGAGACAGGGCAGAGAAGCGTCCCGGGGCCTCAGCGGGACAGGGCGGGCAGGGGCTGGGTGCTGTGCGGTGCACGGCGCAGCGGTGGGGCAGCGGCCGAGGGATCCGCCCGTACCTGGCAGATACATGTTGAGCAGCAGTGGCACCGCTCCGGAGAGAACTGCGGGACAGGGGGACAGGGAGAGGAGACAGGTGAGCGGCAGGATGGGCAGCAGGATCGGCGGGTGGAAGGAAGGATGACTGCTGGCGTTTGGGGAGCGGACCGCTGTGAAAAGGAGAGATAGATGGAGAGATGGATGGAAGGAAGGAAGGAAATGGGTGGATGGATGGAAGGACAGAAGGGAGGTTGGATGAGTGGGTAGATGGAGGGAAGAAAGGGCGAGAGGTGAATGGATGGAAGGAAGGGTAGGTAATTGGTAAGATGAGGGCAAAACAGGCTGATGGAAGGGACAGAGGGTAGACAGAGGGATTGGCTGGTAGCCGGGATGGAAAAGGGGGTAGAGGGATAAGTGGGTGGGGTGGAAGGATGGATGGAAGCACAGGGCAAGGATGGGTGGGTGGAAAGATGAGTTGGAAGGAGAGAAGGGTGGATGGAGGGATGGAAGGACAGGGGGACGGTGGGTGGATGAAGGATGGGAGGATAAGTGTGCAGGCATGGAAGGCTGTGAGGGTAGATAGAAGGGATGGTTGTGGTGCTCGAAGGCAGGAAGAGAGAATGGACAGAAAGAGAGAGGAGAGAACAGGGTGGGCTCTGGAAGGAGACAGGGCAGAGAAGCGTCCCGGGGCCTCAGCGGGACAGGGCGGGCAGGGGCTGGGTGCTGTGCGGTGCACGGCGCAGCGGTGGGGCAGCGGCCGAGGGATCCGCCCGTACCTGGCAGATACATGTTGAGCAGCAGTGGCACCGCTCCGGTGCCGTGTCTCATGGCAGCTGTGGGGGCGGCCCGAGGGCTGCATGTTTTAATATTCCTGCCCCTATTATTATTATTATTTAGAAGTTGGGTGACACTCAACACCCCCCCAGACCAGGATGGTCCTATCTTCATCTGCTTGTCCTGGGCAGCCCTGGGTATTTTCTGAAGACAGGAAGGCAATTTGTGGAGAAATGTGCAATGGAGAAAGATGATCCCAGCTCCCAAAAGACACATCTGTCCATGTTTTCCCCCATCATACATGGCTCCAGCTGCTATATGCAGTTTTGGGGTGCTCTCAGAGGCTCTGTCCCCCTGGTCAAGAGTAGACCCTCCACCAGGACCCCACAGCTTGACGCAGCCAGGCAGCGTGTCAGCAGCTTGCACCAGCTCTGCTCCACGAGTCCAGTGCTGTACAGCCAAGACTGCAACCTCTCCTGTGGTGTTTCATTGATGTCTAGTAACAGGACAAGCTCTTATGCAGGACTTAGATGAATTTCTTGAAAGTGATCATTGCAAGATATGAACCTAATGGAAACCAGAATACGGCCATGCCAGACCCACGGTTATTATTAATACTGTAGCCAAAATGTGTCCTGCATAAAAAGGTGAGCGATGCTCAGCTGGGGTGAGCGATGCTCAGCTGGGCTACCACAGCCCAACAGGCCGATGGGGGGGGGGGGAGAGGGGGGCAGCACCAAAACGGTCCCCGGGGGGGGGGACATCCAATACGTTTAGGAAACAGGGGATCCCAATGGGTGCTGAGCAGGCTCCAGGGTGCTCCACCTCTTCGCCCATTAGGGACAAAGAGCAGATACTGGCAGGGGGAGACATGAGCAGACACGATGGTACTCCCCCCGCAATTCCCCACAAATCCTGTTTAGATGTAACAACCCTTTAAAAGTTTCTCTTCTTCCAGCTTGTCCTCTGAGCTCCCCCCGAACCTCACAGTGGGGTGTCCCAGCTCTGTAAAGCCCAGCAACTCTGCCTGCTCCCCCCATCCCTCTCCTCCCCATCCCTCCAAGTGCAACTCTCCCAGCAGCGGCTCTGCAGCCTCCCAGACTTGCTTTCGCTGCCTGAGTCACTGGAACGAACCGCAGGCAACGGAAAACAAGCCCCGGAGACAGCAGGGTGAGGTGGGGAGGGTGCCAGACCCGCCGAGCCCCCGGCAGCCCGGGTGACTGGGATCCTCCTCCAGCAAACCTGGATGGTGGAGGGCATGGACGGGGGGGTCTGGGCTGAAGGACACCGCATCAAGCCAGAGTGGGGGGAGGGTGGAAGAGGCAGAGATCAGGCTGAGAAGCAGGGTTAGGGTAGTGGGAGCTGGAGTTGGGGGTGCTTTAGAGGGCACTGGGGGTGTGGATTCCTGGGTCCCTGGGAAAGCCAGTGAGTGGGGAAGCTTAAAGTGGGTGGTGAGGGGACTGGGGGCTTTTGGTGACCTAGGGGCAGAGGGGTGCAAAGGGGCAGGGAGTGTGAGATCCCAGGGGCCGGGGATCTCTGTGTCCATGTGGAGCTTTTGGGGTCCTGAGTGATGTGACCTCAGGTTCATGGGGGAGCTGGGGCAGACCCAGAAGATGGGGGAGGGAGGGTATATGAGAAATCCAGAGAACAGGGACCCATGTCCATGGATGAACAAGGAATTGGGCATCGGGTCTGTGGGGGATCTGGAAGATGAGGGTTCAGGTCTGTGGGGCTCCTGGGGACAGAGCCTGGACATGTGGAGTGCCTAGCTGGCAGCAGCTGCAGGCCCCTCTGGCTGCAAGCAGGCAGCCTGCCCCCTCCTCCCCCCAGCACTCCCCCCACCCCAGATGGAGCAATAAGGACCCCAGACTTTGCAATGACCCCCACAGCCTGCCCCTACCCCCACCCACTGCAGGTGCCCGGGAGAGCTTCACCTGTGAGCCGGCGTTGTGAAGTGGAGCCAAGCTGACGTGGCTCTGTGCTGGCTGCACCTGGCCAGGTGTGCCGGAATGTGTTTGTGCAGGGGGAGAGGCCATGGGGCAGTGGCGGGGTGGGGCTAGCAGGGACATGGAGGGGACAGGGTAGGGCTGGGGGGTGCCCTGCAGCTGGGACACCACGCAGAATGGGGACACACAGGTGCTGGGGCTTCTGCATGGCCACACTGGGGTGCAACAGGAAAGAGGACGTGCAGGGACACGCTTGTGTGCACACTCATGTGTGCAGTTCACACACACATGTACATATGCTGACACACATGCCAGGATTGGGGTCTCTGCACAGGCCTGGTTGTGGGGTGTGCACACATACACCCCCAGCCCAGTTCAGCCCAGTCTTCCAGCACCCTTCTGGAACACCCCTTGCCCCAGGTCAGGCATGCTTTTAGCAGGGTGGGCACTGGAGAATCTAGGCATTTGAGCCACCCACCAATGTTCCACCATCCTCCCATGTCCTTGGTGTGGAGAGCACCTCGGGACCAGAGGCCTGTGCCTCAGGAGGGCTTCAGGGTGCTGGAGCATGATGGAAGAGGAGAAGGAGGAGGAAGGAATGTCCTGCATGCAGGGAGAACCTGGGAACAGGGGGCCTGCACCCTAGGAGGGTTTGGGGTGATGGAGTTGGAGGAGGAGGAGGAGGAGGTTGGGAAAGGGTGCTGAAGGAGGAGGAGGAGGCTGGGTGGGGCTCCCGGTGTCCCGGAGCCGAGCCGGATATTGGCACGGATGTGCTGGCGTGGCAATGCTGGGGGAGGACACACACACCTGGGTCCTAAGCATTCTGGGAGCATCTGGGAGCATCGAGCTAAGTCCCCTACCAGCTGCAGAACACTGCCCTGAGAACCTCCTTCCCCTGACCCCTGCACCACCCACCTCCCTCCCCCAGCCCTCTCTGCCAGTGTCCCCAACCCTGACAAAACTGTGGTTACCCCATTTGTGTAAATGTTCTCTCCCATCCCCCCCACCCCTGCCCCAGATGACTCCTATGCTCTTCCTCCTTCCCAGGCCCACTGCAGGCAGGAATCTCCTTCTCTCTTCCAGAGAGAAGCAGGAGGTGGTGATGCAGAGAGAGGGGACCATGAGCTCACAGACTTTGTAGCAATCACCTTCCCTAGCACTGATCCTGGGAGGACAACTGAGGGCATGGCATCCCTGGATGCCTCTTACCAGGCCACAACCCTCCTGGATACCCTCTCCCAGCTGCAGCCCTTTCTTTGCCAAGCAAGTTCATGTTTTCCCAGCTGGAGCATCACGGCATTGGAACTGTCCTGCATCCCCTCTACTCTTTGTGTGTGGACCAGAGGTGGGGTGCAGGGAGCTAAGCCCAGGGTGGAGGTGGCCACAGGCCCAAAACCTCCTGGAGAAGGGGAAAACCCACCTTCCACCCCTCAGAGGGTCTTCCCAGTGTGGCAGCCCCCTGAGAAGCAGAGCAGAGGCAGAAACACCCTTTTTTTGACAAATGCCTTTATTTGCTACCGGATAGAGGTCTATTGCACAGCAGCCTGGAGGCTGCAGGGCATTCAGCCCTGCCCCTGTTCAGTGCTGGACGCGGCGGATGGATTGGATCTGGTTGGTGTGGGCCTGGCTGCTGTATTCATTGTACTTCTTGAACTCGCCGTTCTGTCTGTCCCGCTCCAGCACGTACTGGTAGCCCCTGTATCCCGGGTACTGGTATGCCACCCACCTGAAGGCAGACCCCTGGCTCAGAGCCCCAGGCCAGATCCTCCCCTTGCCTCCCCTCCCCTTTTTTTCTCTTTCCTTCCTCTACCCTCCCATCCCAATCCCAATCCCAGTCCCATCCCATCCCCACCCCATTCCATCCCTCTGCTTGCCCTGGGAGGAGAGAGACAGAAAACACCTCATAGCTTGGACTTTCAAGGAAAAGGTAGCAGGAAGGCATCCCTTCCTTTAGGGGTCCCCCTTCCCCATCTTGGGGTTATGAAGGAGGGAGGTGCTTGCTGAACCCCTGCTCTCAGCCCCCCCAACTCCCCGCCCTGCTGGCAGGACTCACGCTCCGGAATTCACTTTGATGGATGCCACCTCCTTGTTGCCCCAGCCCATGGCTTGCAGCGAGGGGTAGTCGTCGCTCAGCTCAAACTTGTGCCCCTGGAAGTTCTCAGCCTCGTAGAGTATGGCTTTGCTGTCATTGTGGTTCTGCAGAGGGTGATAGCTGAGGGTCAGCGGGGATGGGTTGGCTTTCACAGGGATAGGGGATTGGCTTCAGGGTGACATGCCCCAAGGCACTGCAAAAGGCCTAGGACCATGCCCAGCTTTGGTGCAAGGCACAGGGATGCCCTTCAGCCTGTCACCCCCTCACTGGAACACCCCATTGCTGCCCAGAAGATGCTAGTCTCATGTTCCTGTGGTCCCAATGCACAGCTGCCAGTGAGGGTGACAGTGGCTACAACCCCTGAACCCACATGGGCTCCTGCCTTCAGCATCCTCATGCTCCCCGAGGCTGCAGGAGGATTCAGGGCAAGGCAGGCTGCTGAGACAGGTCCCTTTGGCTCTGTGGGGCCTTGCTGGGTCCCGGACACCGAGGGGTTAATGGCTGGGACACTGAGCGATGCGGCACTGTCCCCCGTGCCCAGCCCCCCCATCTATCTGCACCGAGGAGCAGTCCTGCCAGTAAGGAGTGATCTTATCGCATCCCCTTTATTAAAGCCCGAACATATCTGCCTGGTGATTATTAAAAGTTGGGGGGACCCCCCCGCTCAGAGGCGCAGACGTGCCGCTGCTGCGAGCACCAGTGTCTCTGCAGATGGAGCGATAGAGCTGCGTCTGCCTGGGCACGGCTCAGGTACCCTGGGCAGGAGGGGGATGGACCCTGGACCCTGAGCATCACTGCGGTCCTGCCGGCTCCTCTCTGTTCACCCCATCCCTGGGTATCAGGGCTGGGGGACAAGACCTGGGGACCTTAGTCTGGAAGGTGATGCTCTAAAGCACAAAGCAGAAGGAGCTGGGACAGTGTTTCAGCCTAAATTTTAGCCCTAAAAAGCATCTCAGGATCACTGCAGGGAGGTGGGAGCAGGTGGGTGCAGCTACTTCTCCACCTTATAAGCACCT